ATATAATTATAATTATATAATAATAATAATAATAAATAAATCAAAAGTTACAAGCAGATGATGGTGATGATGATGATAATTGATGTTTAGATATATCAGAGGTATGCACAGCACTAAAAAATTATTATCTGAAATATTATGGCAAAATAAATGAACTTCGACCACTATTAAAAACACATGCTAGTGTTGATCTAATACAAAAATTTGTTGATCTATGTATTGTTGATGCATATAATGCTCAAATTGATGTTGTTGGTAGTAATGAACGAAAGCAATTTCTTCAAAAGCAAATGAGTTATACACCAATTCCATATAGTAAAGTATTTATGAACGAAAAATCAGTAATATTAATATCTGGAATAGCTGGTATTGGAAAAACATGGTTGCTCAGAAAGTGTTTGCTCGATTGGTCAAATAATTTAATTTGGAATAATGTTGAACTTGTGTTTTATTTGGAATGCAGGAGGCTTAATCAATATCAAAATGTTTCGAATATTAATGAATTACTAAATGTTTTCTACAAAGATATTTTAAATGATTTTGATATTAGTAAGCATACTACATTGTTTATAATTGATGGATTAGATGAATTTAAATATTTAAATGAATTATTAAATCCAAATTTAAGTTCTAACTTTCCGATTGTTAATGCTTTAGCAGAAATTCAAAGTTATAAACATGTAGTTGCTGGTAGAGTTTATGCAATTGATAAATGCCAAAATATATATACAGAGCATATTGATAAGTTAACCATTCAAATAATGGGGTTTAACCAAGATGGAGTTGAAAATTATGTAGAAAATCATGTTATAGAAGAAAAAAAAGAAGTTGTTAAAGCAACTTTAAAGGAGTCTCCAATTGCAAAAGTTATGGCAACTGTTCCATTTTATTTATCTTCCATGTGTAAAATTATTAGTGATTCAAGCAAAATATATACAACTTCTTTCTTAACGATGACAGAATTGTATGCAAATATTTTTTTATACTTTTTGCAAAAACACATTATCAAAAACAATGTATTGGTTTATGAAATGATGGCAAATGAAAATAATAAGAAATATGTATTAACCATTTGTAGGATAGCTTTTGAATTGTTTATTGAAAACAAATTTGTGTTTTCAAAAGAAGAAGTTTTACTATTTATCAATAACTTTAATGAAGTTGATGAAAGTCTTTTTGGTTTTATTGAAAGGGTTGAAACACATCTTGGTATTTTTTACCAATTCGCACATTTGACTGTAATGGAGTTTTGTGCATCTGTATATGCATACAATTGTTTAAGCTTTGAAGAGATTATGGCCAATGAGAAGCTGAAGAGTTGTTTATCAATGATTTGTGGATTAAGCAATAAAAACCAAAATATTTTGTTAAAGTTTCTTGTTAACCTGAATCCTTCTAAAAAATCAAAAGAGGAGTCTTCACTTTTGATTCCTATTTTGGGTAAGTAAGTAGTTTGTTATTAAACTTTGGTGCATTTTTGATAAATATACATATGTACAAATGTACAAATTTTGTTTAATGTCATTTTTTTTTAAAGAGAAAACATATAATTATCAAAATATTTTTATCATAAAAATATTTTTTATATTATTTTCTTTTAAGCTTTTTTTTTTTTTTGATTAGTTGCTATTTTATATCTTTCATTCTCTACATTGATTTGATATGATTTACTTTTATTGATATGATTTACTTTTTTTTTTTATTTGGTGTGTTTAACAATATTTAACAACTGTTTTAGGGAAATTTAAATAAATATGTCAATGTTCTTTTTTTCTGCACAAGTTGCTTGACACAAATCTTTATGTATGTACATTCTTTCTTAAAATATATCCATTGAAGTACTCTATGTAGTTAAGGTACTTTTAAAATATTATAGCATCTGTATAATAATTTGTTGACTATGAAATATTTCCGTTAAATAGTCAGGTCTGTGAATTATGAAAAGACGAAAAAAATTAAAATGATAAATTTTTGCGGTACCTTAAAATATAAATTATTGTAGAGAAAAAACCCAGACCAAAGTTGTTGTTTTAATTATTTTAAAATCACAATCGCTCATTCAAATTTTAATAAGATTTTAAATTAATACATTTTTAGGTGAAATGAACATTATAGTTTAACAAAATGATCTGTTCTGTTGGTTTATTGGCAATTTTCCATAAATATAAGCTATTTTTTGGTTGGAATTCCAGTATTTTTTGTCAAAATTGATAAAAATATTGTGTTTTGACAACTATATATAGTTAATATACGTCTGAACCAATTAGAACTAGGATCAGTAGTAAATTAAGGAACTTTTTTTAAAAAATTTGAACTAAATTCATGTTAACGCTGATGAGCGGAATTAATCTAAAGACTCCAAAGTGTTCTTCAGATTCACTATAACGGGTAGTAAAAAAGTTTTGAAAATTATATTAAAAAAAAGAAATATTTCATTAAATATTAAAAAACCCTGAAGCAAAAAAAAATTATACCATCTAAATCTTTTGTTTAGACATAATATGCTGATATAATCATGCTAATTCCAAATAAAAGTGTTTGAATAATTGGTAAATCGCAGAGTATGTAGCATAAAGTAAAGCATGAATAAATCGTTTATTTCACTTTTTTTTTTTTTAATAAAAATAAAAAGCTTTTTTTATACAGATTTTACATGCTGAAAAAAATTAAAAAGTAAAATTTATTTTGATTTACATTTTTAATTACTTTTGATGTAAATAAATTTTCAAATTATTTTTTTAAATAATGTATTTTTCAAAAAAATAATCAATTTTGTCTAAAAAATTAAAGTAAACAATTTTTAGACTGTTATCAAATTCACAATCATAAATAAAGCTCTCTTTAATACTTTACTTTTCAGGTTATCACTATTATCACATTTATTAACTTGAACGTTTTTTTGTAAATTAACTTGAATTTCTTTGTGTCAATCTATTGAAATATTTGTAACTACAAAAGTCATTTATTACATTTATTAACTTGAATATTTTTGTGTAAATTAACTTGAATTTCTTTGTGTCAATCTATTGAAATATTTGTAATTACAAAAGTAGCTCCTCATTCTGTATAATAAAACCTATATCCCTAATATCATTATGACATAGCCACAGCTGTTTTTTTTATGCCTTGCTTGTATTTTTATTTATCTTATTTTTCTTCTTTTTCTTTGTCTTAAAGTAAAATCTTCTGCTTCAAGATCTCATTACCTTAAACTTATTGCTCAAACTTTGTTTTTTTACTGCCAATAACATTCTTCTTTGTCATTTGTTAATATTGCTGTTCGTTTACTACAAAACTCTGCAATTCCTTCTTTTTTCACTATTGATTTTCTCAGTGTTTGAATAATAAAACCAGTTTCTTATTTTTTGTACAGAATTACCATATATGTATTTATATTTTATATATTTATCACATTATAATTTATAATTTATGTAGGTTTATACTTTTTCAAACCCTTTAGCTGGTGTAGAACTAATGAATATAAAAGATATAAACCATTTGTTTTTTTAGATTAAATAATTTTTAAATAATTCTTTAATTATTATTTTTTCTTTGTAACATTATCTGTGTGTGTGACCTTCTATGTCTTTATAACTTAATAAAATTAAGTTATAAAGGCATAGAAGTTAATAAAAATTTAAATTAAAAAGTAAGTCTGCTTTTGGTTGAACTTTATTTAACATAATACTTAAAATTGATAAGATTGATTATAGTTTTTGGAGCTCACCAGTGGGTTTTTCTAAGCTGTACGTGTTTTAAATTATAGATGATGTGAAGATAAAATAATAATAAAATAGTTAAAAAGCAACAAATATTCTATGACTAAAATTGTTTGCAACTGAGTTGAGTGCAAAATTTATTTCAAAATTATTTATTCTGTATATTAATAATGAAAATATAGTAATAGTAGTTGTGAAAGTAACAAAATAATGATTATATAATAATTCATTTTTAATGCTTTTAGCGCTTAAGTACTTGTCATATCCAAAAAACATTTTAGCACATTTCTTGTAACAAGAGTCTGGCTTTGACATAGTATTTGCACTAAAATTAGTCCATAGAGCCACAAAAACAGAGGCAGTAGGTCATATGTAGTTGCACTTTTACCTTAATCAAGCATTTCTTGAATCGTCTAATTAATGTTTGTACCCGTATAAAGACATTTTATCTCTCGATTTATATCAGCATTATCAAACAAACTATTTTCTATTATGTGATCCAGATACTTGAATTTGTCAATGAAACTAATTCACATCATTTGCTAAGGTAAACAGTGCAAAGTTGCTTGACACATTATTACATCTCTGTTTTGGGTTAAATACCATACACACTGTTTTTTTTTTGTTTTTTTTTTGTATTAAATGGCATGTTAATGGCAGTGGCTTCAACATTCAATGCAGTTAATAATTTTGCAATGCAAACCAAGATCGAGCACTCAATACAATATCGTCGGCATGTGTCAAAAGATTCAAAAAAATTTTACCTATGTAACATCCAATATGCATATTTGTAAATATTGAAAATCAGTGTTCTCATATAACATATGAACAAGAACAGTGAAAGATTTCTTCCTTGCTGTATACAATTGCTTATGTTAAAGCTGTCAGAGTTTACTTTCTGCCATCTGGCAAACATAGTTTGATTCTTGTACCAAAATGCAAGTAGATAGGCAACATTTATGGCAATACCCTGATCAATTAATTTAATAAACAGTTTCCAATAATTAATGGTATAAAATCTATAAAGCATGCAAATACATGGCTTCCTCTAGAAATAAAGTATTTAACTGTCTTTTTTAAACAATATGTACAAGACATTGTGGAATGACTTTTCTTGAAACCAAACTGAAAATAATCAGCATTCTCATGAGATATGATTCTTTCTAATCAAATACCTTCAAATATTTTAGAACAAGCCGGAGAGATTGCAATTACTCTGTAATTATTTACATCTGTTAAGTCTCCGATTTTAGATTTTACTAGAATAATTATCGTGGCTTAAGAAGGTTAATGCCAAATGTCCATGCAACAAGCATAAATTAAAAAAAATACTTAGATAAAGAGACAGTCTATGTCCTCCATATATAAATGATTCCATAAACAAGCCATCTGGTCCAGCAGATTTTCTCTTTTTTTGCTTATACAAAGGATTAGTTACATCTATAATAGTAACTCTAACAGGTATATCTAGTAATAAAGAATACACTTTTTGCTCAACCTGTATTCTATACATTCTATACTATGCTGGTTATCATTAAGTGAATTATATATTGCTTGAAAATGTTTTTTTCTTATATTGGCAATGTCCTTGTCACCAGTAACTCTGCCAATACTAGCAACATGATTGATTGCCTTTACATTAATGATATTCTCTGTAACCTCTGTCAGCTTTAATTTACTCAGTATGATTTTTACAGTACCTAAAAGCAAGTTTAAATACTGCTCGAGTTTTTTTCATTCTTTCAATTACATGTTTAGGTTTTCCATCAATAACCAATTTTTTGAATACAATGAATTCAATACAATGTTTTGTTGAATCTGTCTATAATTATGCCTTTTTTTTTATGTCATACCACACATCCATCTGTTTAGTCACACCACACATTCATCTGATCGTTTTTTACTTTTCACAAATACTTTTCCATAAATTCTAAAGTTTATATAACAATAAAAGATTGTTGTATGCCTGCATCTAAATAAATAGTAATCAGATATGTTTATATCCATAATATGTATGCATAAAATGCATCTAGGAAACTTTTAGCTTTTCTGAAATAAATGTTTGGAAGCTTTTATTACTTCTCTTCAATTTTAACTCAAGCCTCTTTCTACTCCACATTTTTCACCATCTTGAGCAGTTGCTTATTAAACAATAATGCTTTTTTTTCATCTTTTTTACAAGAACATCTCTCTCTTAAGAACAAATTTCCTTTTATTATTGCAAAAAGCTAATGTAAAAAAGTCTTGTCTGATGTTAAGCTCTGTTATTCTCAGTTTACTAAATCTTGTATCTTTCTCAGATGTTTGGTTTCAGAGACCTTTGGTTAGTCTTCAACATTGTCGTTAACTAAAGTCTAACATTTAATCTTTAGTTCATGTGTTTTTTTTTACTTCTCCACAAAATAAAGCAGATTTATTTGCAAAGAAATCTTATCCTTATTTGACTCTTGAATATAATAGCCATACTCTTCCTAACACTTGAACAGATTAAATCATTGTTATCCAAATCACTCTTCCAATGGCTTCCAATGATAAAGTTAATTCTTAATTAAACACTTCTACAGTTTGTGCTTCATAATAGATTTCCATCATAGTTCAAAAAGCGTTCTCCAAAACTCTCATCAATTGTTGCTAAACTTTTATAATGTGCTAATTAAGTGGTTCTAATTTTTTAAAACTCTAGAAAACACTTTGACCTCTTCAACTATCCTACAAATAGCT